GCGACGGATAAACCCCTTCGCCAGGCTGTCTTCAATGTAGTCCTTTAAGGTCTTGGTCTCGGGTTCCGAGAGGTTGTATAGGCGCCCATAGGGCAATGGAGCTCCCGGGAGAAGGTCGATAGGACAATCATATGGCCTGTGGGGAGGCAAGGTATCTGCACCTTTTCTCTCGAACACGTCTGCATACTCACGGTACTTGTCGGGCAATCCGTGTTCGATAGTACCCAGGGCAGTTGGAGGGCTGGAAAGGAAAGGAGCACAGATCGAGGAACTGGAAGGGGACTGGTAAAGAGACGGATCCGGTGGCCCAGTTGATCTGGGGATTATGTCTCAGAAGCCAAGGGATTCCTAGGATTACGGGGAACAGCGGAGAGGGCACGATGTCCCATGTGACTCGCTCGGAGTGGTGGTTACCGATGTGGAGGAGCAAGGGATGTGACTCCATGGCGACGGGGCCGGTCTTGAGGGTCTTGCCGTCCACCATGTGTAGCTGAGAAGGATTCGCTTTAGGGCACAGCGGGACTCCCAGTTGTGAGGCTAACTCCTGGTCCGTGAAACAGCTGCTTGCTCCTGAATCGATGATGGCAGGGAGGTTAACGCCATTCCTGTCCAACTGCAGGGAGACAGGGATGGTGAGAAGAATTACGGCATACAGGCCAGTTTGGACTCACCATGGGTGCCTCTGGCCTACCTGCCCGAGGTTTGTTGGGACAGTCCTTCAGGAAGTGACCAGGCTTGGCGCAGTACAGTCATAGGTGCAGTGTCCGGCGTCTGGTCCTCTCGATGGCAGACAGGGGCCCACGAACCACCCCGATCTGCATTGGTTCCTCCCCGCTGGATTCTCCGAACACGGGAGCAGGTACCGGTGCCGGAAGCGGATCTGGACGTCGTGCAGGTGATGGCTGGGTGACTTGTCTCTCCTGCCGTCTCTCACGGAAGCGCCGGTCCAGGTGGGTGACGAAATCCATCAAGGCCTCCAGGGAATCTGGAATGCCGGTGCGTGCCAGCTCATCCTTTAACTGCTCCGACAGCCCGACCCGAAATTGATCAATAAGGGCTACGTCGTTCAGGCCGGTGTCTGGAGCGACCTCGCGGAACTCTGTGATATAGTCCTCCACCGGTCGTCTGCTTTGTCGGAGGGTGCGCAGGGTGCCCCGAGCGGTTGCGGCACGTAGGGGGTCATCATAGAGCCTCTGCTTGCCCTTAGCAAAGGACTCCCAGGTCGTCAGTACTAGGTCGTTGATCTGCAGTAGTTGATGTGCCCATGTCTGCGTTGGCCCGGATGGCAGGGAAATGGCGGTACGTACCCTGATGAAGTCGGTGGGGTACGCGGGGGCTTCAGGGCAAACAAAAGCTCACAGGAGACAATAAATGAGCGATATTTCCTCCAGTCACCTGAAAAACGCTCTGGGAGGCCGACCGATGGCTCGCTGGTGACCAACCTCCATGGTGCGTACAGGAGTGGAGGGCGGTGAGGGCGGCAGCACGGTGGATTCAGCAGTACGTCGCTCCTGTGCGACCACCCTCTGGAACAGGTGCTCATGACTGACTTGCATCTCCTGAAATGCTCGGGTCATGAGGCCCAGCTGTTGGGATAGGGCCGTAATGGCTTCAGCCACTCTTGCGGGTTCCATGGTAATGGCTGAGTTGTTCTGTCAGGAGTGCAATTGGTTTGGCATAAGAACGAAGTGGAACTCACTGGCAGGAAATGGCCTGAAGCGTCCGAAGGCAGAGGTACAAAAGGATTAATCCAAAGAGAAGTCAAGTCCAATGCGAGTCGAGGCAGGCAGCAAAGGTTCAGGGGCGAAAGGCAGTCCAAGGTCGGCAACAGGAGGTCCAGATAAAGGGGGTCAGGAAACAAAGCAAGGCTCCCTTTCGTACAGTGAGCTAGGAAATCACACCACAGGATGAGATAACTCAGCAACAAGCCAGAGCTCTGGCCAGGTTTCTATAGCCAGGGGGTGTAAGTCCGCCCCCCTATCACCGAGGCAACCAGGAGGCTTCTCTTCACGAGAGCCAATGGCGGGCGAGAGGTGGTATGGGTGTGTACGGCAACCTCCCCCAGCTAGGTCCACACCTGAGACCTAAACAGGTGCAGGCACGCTATGCACGTGCTCCTGGGGATGCACCTGCCGCACGACTCGCGCATGCGCACATTCAGCCGGGCGCCAGTGGTTCTGCCAGGCTGGAGGGAGACCCGTACCCTGCGCCGTGCCCGCTGACCCTGTGGGGAGGTGACACCCCTGGTTTCCTGACAGGAGGTGACACCCCTAGTTTCCTGACAACTACAGATAGGGAATTGGAGGGATAATGAATGGCCTCCCCAGCATATTGTTCAGTATTATGGTCCTGCCACCTGGGCGGAGGATGGGTCGTATGTAGAAGCTGTGTTAGAAATCATTACCAATGAATCTGCAAATGCTTTTAACTTGCTTGCAAATCAAGGAACTAAAATGCGTACTGTCATTTACCAGAACAGGCTTGCATTAGATTATCCGCTACCTGCCGAGGGAGGTGTTTGTGGGAAGTTCAACTGCTGTCTACAGACAGATGACAACGGAAAAGCGATAGAGGAAATCACTGACGGAATAAGGAAGTTAGCTCACGTGCCAGTACAGACAAGAGATGGATTTAACACTGGCGGCTGGTTCGGGAATTGTTTTCCAAATATGAATGGGATGAAGGCCATGTTGGGAGTAGTTATGGCAATACTGGCAGTCTGTATTTTCCTCCCTTGTCTGATACCTCTTGGGACTAGAATGATCCGGGGTTTCATTGAGGCCACTGTAGAAAGAAAGGCTGCAGCCCATGTAATGGCCATGTGGAAGTATCAACCATTGGTCCCCTGGGACTAGCTAGGACAGACATTGGTCCCTCCTGCGCCCCCTGGTCCTAGTGGTCCATTGATGATGCTTTGTCTCGCTCAAGCTTTCGCTGTGATAGCATCAAAGGGGGGAATGTGGCAGCAACCAAAATGGCTACGCTTGACAAAATGGCTGTTTTTAAATCCTCAGAGTTTCACCAACTGCACATAACTAGGGCCCCCTCCCTTCCTGCAATAACAATGCATAATGGACAGTTTGTGTCAAGATGAGCCAGATAGATAAGGGGCGCTATCCATATATGGTAGAATTGCAAACGATTCTTGCTAATTGGCTTAGAGCTGTATAAGGAAACATACGTGTAAAGGAAATATGTATTGTGACGCAATTGTTATTATAAATGCTGTGACCGCCCTTCAAACGGGGCTCAGCATTGGAGACACGAGTCTTCGCATGCAAATAAAAAAAGAGATTTGTTTTCCTGAAGTCTGTGTCCGGAGTCTATTACTGGTTTCCCAAAATTGTCTGCCGCTACACTGCAAGCATCACTACTGCATTTGTTTGCATTATAGTGCTTCTATTACTTGCTATTTGCCATTTTTGTACCTGTTCATGCATTCATTGGGTAGGATGTTATTTGTTTAGTAAAACTTTTACAAAACCTCACAAGGTGTGGTTGTGTGCTGTGGATCCATTAGACATGTGCAACGGCTAAAAATTTGTTTCGTTTCGTTTATATTGTTTTTCGGAATTCGGATCCTATATGTGTTTCGCTTCGGGAATCGGATTCTTATTCGGATCTGATTCGGAATTGGTTTCGGATTCGGACGAATTCCCGAAAATTCAACTTGAGGTGGGGTAGCAGAATTGGCACATTTGTAATTTCTGGTTGCTGTACTCTATTCTTTACTATTAAAGGGGCATTAAGATCCTTTTCTTAATTTGTTTTGATCTGTTTAAATGTTAACAATGCACGCACAGGATTTGGACGAAATTCGTTCCAAATCCGAAATTTCGGATTCAAAATTTCGGATATGTTATATTTCGGAAATTCGGATGCTCCGAATTTCCGAAATTTCGTCCGAATTTCGATTCGGAACGAAATGAATTGCACATGTCTAGGATCGATTACCTGAGGTCTATTACAGAGGTGAGACAGAAGAACCCATATATTCCAGTGGTTCCTTCGGGTTTGAGCGCTACATGCGTTTTCTTTTACATCATGTGGATGACAGGGTCTCCAGATCTGAATCCAATCGAGCATCTGTGGGATGTGCTGGAAACACAAATCAGATCCATGGAGGCCCCACCTCATAACTTACAGGACTTAAAACGATCTGTTACTGACAGCTTCGTGCCAGATAACACATACTGTTATGGCTGATCAGTGTAAGTTGTATTAAGTTAAAAATTGTTGCAGGAAATGTCTAAAGAAAAATCTTGTCATCTTAACATATAATCCTGTATGAAATTATGTAGGGTGTAGAAATCCACTTAAATGAATCAGCCAAAAAATTGCAAAACCACTACAGAGTTGTATCAGCAAATGTGATTCTTGATCCAGTTGTATGCTGGACAAATACTGCATAACAATATGGACTTAAAGAAACTTTTCCACCCAGCTTTCGGCTCATAGCAGCACATACTAGTATACTACCCAATTGTAAAAAGCTTGAATGATGTCAAAGTCATTTTAAAAAGAATCTGTCTGGATGCATGGCATTGCTAAACTCCCAAAATATTTTCTGGACCTGGACTGCAAATTCCAGGGAAACAACATCCAACTAGAACCCAGGTCAGCACAATATTGCCTAATTTTACACTGAATGGGTTGCAGAATACAGTAAAACTTAACATCTTTGTTTGACAAGTTGCTGACTTTCTGTGAAAAAATATCTGCAGGGTGACAGTACACAAGCTGGGATTTAACACATATGACATGCTTAATGAGCATCATATGCAGCACACGGTCATATGTAATAGAAAGATAATCCCTCATTTTTTTGTCTTATCCATATAAAAGACCTGGCACAGTGGTGTACATCTGCCAATGTGTCTGTGTTCCTACCCTCATAGGGAGGACTCTGGAGAAAAGGGAAGGTGTTAGGGAGAGACTGAGAAAAGGGAGGCAGAGAGTAAGAGACAGTGAGTAAAGGAGAGAGAGAGATAAGGAAAGAGGGAGAGGAGGAGGAGCGTATAGTGATGCAGTCAGCTTGCAGCATCCTCATACACACACATATACATCGCACTGGAGCTACACCCTCCCTCCTTGCTGCAGATCTCTGTGTGTGATGTGAAGAAGAGAAACACAGAAGTATTCCCTGTGTGCCCCTGCCATCTGCCTACAGGTACATCTGTGGTTATTGCTCTTATGACATGCTTTTCGCTTGTTACTGTTATTTTACCCTACCTTAGTATAATTTAGATTTTTATCTTTACATATAATTTGGGGAATTCTAGCAATTTACAATTTAGGTTTCTTTTTGTTTTTTTTTTTATGTGACTTATGCTTCACAGACACAAATGAGAAGAAATGCACAGGAATGCAGATCTAGTTAAGTCTTTGGTGTATGTAAAGATGACTCCATACCTACATGCCTGGCCTTGCAATCTCAGGGCCAGGTCTAGCATGCTAGATCGGTCAAGTGTGTTCAGTTTTGTGCTGCATAATTTTAAAGATTTAATAAGCTGACAACTTAATAAGAGCATTGTAAAGTAGATATTCATAGGAGAATTACAAGGTACCCTATGGTATGAGGTGCGCATGCATGGTGAGAACACATTGGGAGCTTGAAGCCTGTTACTTAACAAGGGATCTTAAGTTTAACACACACGTTACAATCTGATTGTACAATATCTTTTAGATCTACTAACAAGTATGTAGTGCAAGGGCCTGCTTGCTTGGTTACAAATTGATTGCATAGATTAGGTAGGTTCTTAAATTAGATGGTTTTACTAGATCTAAAGTTGGTTGAAAAGAGATGGTATGGTACATCTGAAAGGTACCAATAACCTGCAATCTGCGGGCAGTGAGAGGGAGATAGTCTGCAAGAAATTTGTAGATATAGTACAGGGGAGGTAGTATTGGGTGATGGGTTTACAGGTCTGTGCTTTCATACACTGTTTATTTGTAAATAAATCGTTTCTAGCATCCTTAGAAATATTTTACTGAGCAGGCCTGTGTGGATGCTTAGAGAAGACGACATTAAAGGGCAACACCAAATTTAGGATAAATATAAAGTCAACAGAAAGAAGTAAAAGCTATTCATCCGACATTTTGGACATACTGTATATTGAAAGGCTTCAAAAGGCTGAATCTTGAAGATGAAAAATAAAAAGCCCATGACATATGTTACAATCTGACTGTACAATCTCTTTTAGATCTACCAACAACTAGGTAAGAGCCTGTCTGAAGGCATACAGATTGATTGGATATATTAGGGAGGCATTTATAATACATCGTTTTGATAAATCTAAAGTTAAATTGTACAAAAATTGTATGTTCAGAATAAAACATGTATGACAACCCTAAGACATAAAGGCTCTAAGGGGGCAAATTCTTCATCCACAAACATGCAGATGACAGGGAAACCGTGACATAAATGAAATCATAATGAAAGAAAGTAATATATTGTGACCCATTTATCTTGTTCACTACTGGACTATTACTGTTTTAAATTGAAACATTTTTCATTGTTTGACCCTTTTGCTGTTAACTGTTTTAAATTATAATTGTGTATTGCTTGGTGTACACTTGGTTGTGTCATTGTGTATTTGTTTAAGGATAGTGGGCAGACTCCCCTGAAATGTAAGTGTTTCTGTGTGATGTACGCTTCAATATAGATATCATGTATACCCTAGCTGTATTATATATATGCTGCCTGGTAGTGAACCTGGTTTTCAGTAGAGTTGTGCTCACTGCTCTTTTTTTGGCAGGCTTTTTCTTTATTGCTTGCTTGGCTCATAAGTCTTAAACATGTCCAGGATGTAATGAACTAGAGCAGGAATGTCCATCTAGCTGCTCTTCTCTTCTATGTTTGCCTTGAGATGCGTCTCTGTTCATAAAAATACATAGCCATATTGTACATATCATTTGTCATCATTGTTGGCCCAGCTAATGTTGTCTGATTTTAATGTACCTTACGAAAGCGGCTCATTTACTTCACGAAGTGTATCTCCATGTCTCTGAAAACAATCAAAATAAAATTGAAGTCAATTATTGAAAAATATACAAATACATATACATTATTTATTTTTTGCTTTTAAAGGATATTTAAACCCACCTGTTTTTTTGCATATATCGACTGCTAGCAAGCAGTCGATATATGCAAAAAGTTTTTTTTTTAAAACAAAACCGCTCAAACAGCAGTTTAGACTTACCCTGTGTTCCGTGCGCGGTCCCGTGCGAAAATTAGAAATTTCTCGAATGGCCGCAACGGATCTTGCATGCGCAGTTCTCATTTTCGGCAGGGACGCGACGAGGGACGTAAGGTAAGTCTATGGACGCGTGCACCCGCATGCAGACACCGCTGGATCGGAGGGACAGAGCAGAGAGAAGGCTGAAAACATCAGTAAAGAAGAGGAAGATCGGAAAAAGAGAGACATAATTTAAGGTAAGTGCTGACATTAACATTGGAGGAGGGAAAAAAATGTTTGCCTTTAATGTCACTTTAAGTGCTTCTGAGGAGGGAGCTGCTGGAGGGGCCTCAAAATACTTATTACACACTATGAAGCTCGCTGGTGGCTGTGATTCCGTGGGATTTTCTTTCAGATTTTTTAAAAACTATATAGACCACTTTATCAGTGAATTCCATGCTTGTATAGGATATTGTTCCCACTATTATTGTATAGGCTTTTATTATATTAGCATTATACTAGGTTAAGAGGCTTTTGTTTAATCTTGATTTAACATGAAGTGATATTATACTGATTGATAAGGGCACTTACCACTGACCACCTACATTTAAGGGGAATACACACACCACTGGCCACCAACATTTAGGGGATGCACACCCCACTGACCACCAATATCTATAGGGGCACATACACTACTGGCCACCACTGGGCACACATACCACTGGCCACCAACATTTAAAAGGAAAACATACCACTGACTACCAGTATTTAAGGGGCACACACACCTCTGACCACCAACATTTAAACGGCACTGTCCACTGATCACCATCATACGAGGGCACTTACTCCTGACCACTTACTCCTGACCACTGTACTCTGCAAAGTCCTTACTTTTGCAAAGTGCACGCTACATAGTCCTGAATGCTGCAATGTATATACTACATAGTCCTGAATGCTGCACTTTGAACACTATGAAGTCCCGACCCCTGGACTGCATATATTAGGTCCCATTGACACAGGGATTTATGCAAGGGGGTATAGTGATGCAGGGCCATAGATAATTTTTTTCCCTGGGGAGGGGGGGGGGTCAGCTTCCTCAAATTATAAGACTTTATCTAGCAGACACACACCATATACCAGCCATATCATTCCTAAAGCAATCCTTTACCCTGAGCAATACCTATTTTGTTGTTTGACACCATATGGACAAAAACCATGTTTTAAAAAGACTTATAATTGGTACCTACCAATTCCCACAAACCGCTTAGTATACACTTATTGGGATTTTTTTTACCAAAAACATCTAGCAGAATAAATGTTGGCCTAACTTTAGGAAGAAATGTAATTTTATTTGATATTTTGTATAACAAAAAGTAGAACATATAATTTTTTTCATTTATATAAAAAAAAAAATACATTTTAGAAAACAGCGGCAATTAAATAGCAACAAAAGAAAGCACTATTTGTGTAAAAAATTAGGCGCCCGGGGGCCAAGTCTTTCATTAGCGCCTCCCCCACACACAAATCAATCCATAGTTCAATGCTCAAGACCCTTGGTTCTCAACTGGTGGGTCGCAACCCTGTGTTTAGTGGGTCCCCGTGTGCCTTCCACTTTTCTAGGTGAGAGGCTCCTTAGCCTCCCCCTAGCGCAGCACTGTCAATTCCTGCGCCAAGCAGCCATTCAAAATATGCTGCCCGGCACCAAGTGTTAGCTTGAGGTAGGGTGGGCTCCATCCATATGTGCATTGCTTACAGCTCCTTCGCATGTCCAGTAGAGGTACCTGGACCGGTGTGACATACTGGCTCTCGACACCTCTGTGCGGAGTCTCAGGTGGCCAGGTGGGGTCTCTGGTGGGCTGTGCGGAGTCTCGGGTGGGCTGTGCGGAGTCTCAGTTGGGCTGTGCGGAGTCTCAGGTGGGCTGTGCGGAGTCTCAGGTGGGCTGTGGGGATTCTCAGGTGGGCTGTGGGGGTCTCAGGTGGGCTGTGGGGGGTCTCAGGTGGGCTGTAAGGGGTCTCAGGTGGCCTGGTCTGGTCTCAGGTGGGCTGTAAGGGGTCTCAGGTGGCCTGGTCTGGTCTCAGGTGGGCTGTAAGGGGTCTCAGGTGGCCTGGTCTGGTCTCAGGTGGGCTGTAAGGGGTCTCAGGTGGCCTGGTCTGGTCTCAGGTGGGCTGTAAGGGGTCTCAGGTGGCCTGGTCTGGTCTCAGGTGGGCTGTAAGGGGTCTCAGGTGGCCTGGTCTGGTCTCAGGTGGGCTGTGCGGGGTCTCTGGTGGGCTCTGCAGATTATTAATAACTTTTTCGTTTTATTTTTTTTTTACTTTTTATCAGTTTTTTTTATTTTAATTTCTTTTATTATTTTTTATTTTTTTCACTTAACTTTATTGCTATCACACGGGCTAACAAGCACCTGTGTGATAGCATTCGGAAGTGACATGTTTTCTTTATGAGCCTGCCCTCCAGTACAGACTCGGGACATAGGGAAAGCACTGGACTCGGGACATAGGGAACGCACTGGACTCGGGACATAGGGAACGCACTGGACTCGGGACATAGGGAACGCACTGGACTCGGGACATAGGGAACGCACTGGACTCGGGACATAGGGAACGCACTGGACTCGGGACATAGGGAACGCACTGGACTCGGGACTTTGCAACACAGTGGACTTAGGACTAAAACCAGATGTATACTCACAGATAATACAAGCCCCCCCACCTAATTGCCCGCTCTGTCTCCGTGCAGCCTTCTGATCCTGGTCACTGGAAGGACACCCTGCTTCCTGCAGGGCCCGCACTGAGGTATGTACAGATCATCCAGGGCCAGGCAGGCAGATGTACAAACAGAATATATCACAAGCGCCAGCAACATATATCAGGGATAAGAGGAGAGGATCTTCAGTGTAGTACACTCTCGAGGCTGCTCTCGCTGGTTGAGGGAAACCACAAAGCTGAAATACATAACACAGAGAGCGCCTCCATCGTGTAAAAACTTTTAATA